TCTAACTCTTTCTAAAATAGTTCGATTCATCCTCTCAGCCACCTCATTTTGTTATGGTGTATAAGGGACATTTTGTGCTTAAAAATACCATGCTCAACATACAAAGAATCTAAACATTGATTACAAAATTTACACCTATTATCAGTCTTAAAAACTTAATTTTATGTCCGGTTTGATTTTCAATAAAAGCTTTCCAATATTTGAATATTTTAAAAATATTAGATTTGTTTTTCATAAAAAATACCCAAAATTTTCTTAAAAAATTATCAATTATAGAAAGAAAGTACCTAGAACCACCATGTGTGGGCTCACTAGAGAGGCCCCTCACAGCAGCATATATATATTTCAAAACATGAGGGGGTACAAACTGCTAAAGGTAATGAGTTTGAAATCTACAAGATAGAGACAATTACAGTGGTAACTCAATCAAATCATTTGCAAATCTCAAGCCTTAGTTCAATGGAAAAACTAAGCTGTGAGAGTTTGGCACGAACACTCAATTACAATTCGCTAAAAAGCCATTACTGTTACAATGTGCAAAAGTGGTGAGGTTGAATCAGTGACTCTTAATGATCCTATATAAGTTACATGCCTTAAGATAAGTTACATATGTAAGTGTGAAAAGTGGGCCGCTTCAAACGAAATACTTATGAATTCAAAGACGAGATCCATGGCCGAAATGGATCAAAATGTAACAATAAAGTTGAGGCTGAGATAGCGACACGTCAATATTAATGAATAAGTGTACACAGAGGTAGAACAGTTCAATGCGTCAAGTCAACAGGGCCATCAATACACTCTGTAATGTTTATTATAGAAGGTTTAAAGCCACAAGCTACTTGTCCTGGTATGTCAATATCTTTCTGAAATTATGCTGAGTTTTTGTCCTTTCATGGATATTTCCACTCATGTTGGGGATCGTTGGATAATCGGTTATTTAATTGAAGAAAATTAATTTTAGAAAAATTTAATTCAGTATTTATGCTACCAATTAATCGGTGAGTGAAAATGCGATGGGCCGGTGAACCAAATTAATTGGATTAATTTGGTTGAAATAAATATATATTATATATTTATTGGATATGAGACTTGGTTAATATTTTGGCTATTTTGTCTGTCTAAAGACAAACCAAATTGTACAGCCCTAAGTTAAACCCGAGTATATTGCATAAGTCGCAGGACTATCTAGATAAAACTTTATCCCGTGGATAGATTTATTGTATCCTCAATCGGAAAGTTTGAAATTAGCGTAAATTATGTTCGTAATTAAGATTGTAATTCTGGTCATAATTGATCCTCTGCCATTTTGACCGGTGAAGACGCCTATATAAAGGGTCTCTCCCTTCATTCTAAAACACACCAACAACATCATCTTCTCTCTTCTATCTATTCGGCAACCTCTTCAGCCCAGTTCCTCCCTCGCCTTTGTTCGCTGGAGCTCTGACAATCTGAGGTGTCACTCTCATCGGAGACAAATTATTTTATTTTTGGATTAAAACTCCGTCCACTAGAGGTACTATCGGGGCGTATCTAATTTTTAAAAGATAATTTATCCTAGACTCGATTTTACGGTACTTTTATTCTCACAATTAATTCCCAAGTTCAAATTTACAACTAAAATTAATAGCATCACTTGAAGCATGTCATTGTTATATTTTGATTTCATAGCATCATCATAAGACTTAAGTTTATTATCACTAATAGTACAAAGCCACTAAAAGTATATTAAGTCAAACCAAAATTATTTAATTTAGCAAGATTATTTCAAATTCTTGTTGGTCTTTTCCTTACAAGTTGTCTTGATTTAAATCAAAAAATTTATAACCTCCACGTTCTGCTCTAGTCAGATTCATTTATTCTAGAAATGATAACATTATCAGTTGGCAAAATTGCACAATACCCACTTGTGGTTTCATAAAATTGCATAAAATCCCTTATTTTTTTCAAAACTGCACCAAACCCCCTCGTAGTTTCATAAAAGTTTGCACATAACCTCCTGACCGTCTTTAATTGACGGCGTTTGACATGTACACGCTGAAAGTGCGAATGGATTTCATAATTTTTTTTCAAGACTGAAATTACCCAAAAATCCTTCCTCTTCAATTTAGTCTAAATTAACAGTAAGAATCAGATACTCAACCTTCGACGACACCGAGCTGCAGGATTTCACCTTTTTCTTGACTGTAGCTTCAGATCGGCAAGTAGGTTAGTCTTTTCCTAAAAATTCTTTTAATATTGCAAGTGGATTTTCTTCTTGTTGTTATAATACAGATCGAAATTTTGGTTGGGTTAAATATTTAGGTTTTTTTCGAGAACGAAGTATAAAATCAGTATTTTGGGATGATAGTTGTTGATTTTATGGGTAAGTTATGGATCATTTTTGTTTTGATCTGTGCAATGAGAATTTGATTTACCGAGATATGGATGTATGAAATCGAAGTTTTGGGATGAGACGTGTTCATTTTCTACGTAAGTTTTGGGTAATTTTTTTATTTGCGAGATGAGAATTTTATTTATAGAGATATGAATGTATGAAATTGAAATTTTGGATTGAAAACTGTTTATAGATCATTTTTCCGTCCAAAAATTGATCTTGTTTGTAATTTACCTGGTAAGATGTGTTTCATGAAATTCAAGATTTGGGATTGGGTAGGGCTTGATACACACATGATTATTGTGTGATTGTGTTATTGATTCCATTTGATTATATAATTAGAAATGTGAATTGGTTGTCTCAGATGTCATCACACATGGGTAAGTCTAGGTCTGCAGGCCGAGGTGATTGGGATCCAAGGTACAAGTGTCCACAATGCAAGTGCGGGGTAGTAGCAGCAATTCGTATTGTCGGATGAAAGAAACTGAGGGAAAACTGTTTTGCAACTGTTGAATGGGGTATGTGATTTCTTTCGATGGTTGAATCCTACGAACACCACTTATGGGGAATGGAGCGGAAACGATAACAATATGAATGATTTTGAGGTTACTCAACACCAATGGATACCCAAGCGTTAAATGGAATTAAGCTTGACAATAAAGAATTAATTGCAGAGATGAAGGCGTCGAATCAAAGACTTATGACGTTTGAATTGGTATTGTTTGTAGTATTGATAGTTGTTGTCAAAATGGCTTTCATGTAGGCTTATTTTGTGGTATTTTGTGGAGCTACATTTTCAATTTCACATATGTTTTGTAACTTTGGAGTTAAATTGTATGTTTCATTTATGGACTTTGATTATGGTTTAGATATTTGGAATCTCAAATGGTAATGTCTATCATTGTTATATTATACTTGAGATTTGAGAGTTTGGAAGCAGGGGTTCTCATTCAACTCAGATAAAACCAAAGACAAACACAAAATACCATTCACAAACACATTACAATCAAGAGTACCATCAGTCCGTGAAAAACGGGAAAAGCCAAGACAACCATAAGTCAATTCCCAAAATCAAACCTACATATCATACCTTACGACTACATTCGATCAGCGTAATGTCATAGCAAACACAAAAAAAAAATTCACTGAACCTGTCGTACGACTACTTCTAAACAAGGTAATCCCATAAAGAACAAGTAATATAAGCCATAATATCATACCGAATACGTGGAACTGATAATCCTTGAAAGTAGTCTAATAAAGATTTGGAATTTTCGAGAATAATCAAAATAGGTTCAAAATCTTTGAAACTAATAAAAGTCTCATAATTTTCGAGACTAATTAAAACAGATTCAGAAGTTCCGGGACTAATTAAAACAAATTTAGAATTTTCAAGACTATTTAAAATAGGTTCAAAAATTTCAAGACTATTCAATATAATAAAATGTATAGTTAATACAGCTTCGGAAAATCCAAAAATATTTCAAAATATCTTTCATACCATTTTCGTCTGTCACATTTTAAAGTATCCCTTTCCTATTTTGTTTTGAAAAAAGAAAAAGATATGTCATTACTAAACCAAGGTCGATTAAGCAATATTCTTACGAAATCAAATCAATATCGAACAAGTCATAAAGAAAACTTTGATTTATTACGGAAGCAATAGTTCGGACTCAGTTTACCCTCAAATCAAACACACCGACACCACACACATCCAAGACCCCAACCACAAATGACACACCACGGAAACGCAACAAACACGCAAACCTGAACACTAATCTAAGGAAACATTGCCTAAATCAAGTGTAAACAACATTGCAGACAAGTTACACCGCAAACAACAATAAGGCATAAATCAAGCAAACCAAACCATAGAAACTCCAAGGGGGAAGGCACGCATCGAAGGAGAAGGAGAACTTCCCAAGTTGCCGGACAGATTCACCGAAAAACACAGGCACAAAGTCGACGGAATCTCACTGGAATCACCTAGGGCTTTCGAGAGAGAATCGCTATCTGAACTGAATTGGAGGAGTGTGTTCTGGTCTTAATGAACCAGTTTTGTTATGTGTTGTATTGTGTTGGACCGGTTCAGGGATCAGCAAACCGGTTCAGACTGATTCACAGTGAACAATCAAGAAATACAACGAGTCTCACAGAGATCTGGGTCGAGTAGCGGGTCGTCGGATCCGGGCTTCAATCAGGAGGGTCGGTTGTGTGTGTTTTAGGCCTCAATAATCACCGGTCAAAATATATAACAAGATGATTATACACTAATACCAAAATACCCTTAATTTTTACTTAAATTACAAACATACTGTTACACATACAGTTACTTTATACATAAAGTTAAAGAGCAAAAATGTCAAGAACCCTTACATATTTTCAGTAACTAATAAAATATTATTATTTTTTAATCTACTACAAAATTTCAAAAAGGTCTTTTCATTGGGGACGGGGGAGTATGTATTTTTCTAGTCTCGGAATTAATTCCAAAATAATCTTGGAGGCTAATTAACAAAATTTTGATAGTGATTATATGTAATATTTTTTAAAACACTAATTCCTAAATGGCAAAGAGAATGGGAGATATTTGAAATTACAAGTAAATGAAAGTAGTAGTATTACCTAAAAATAAAACATTTCTTCTAACTTTATTAATAAGCAAAACAAGCATTCAACGTACGTACGTACTATGTTCCTTATTTGGTAATAATCATCCATCCATCCATCCATGGAACATATATATATAGCCAAATCCAGATCCAAATCCAAAGACATAGACATAGACGACAACAAACAATATACTAGGAGTAATAATATATCAATCAGTGATTTCGTTTCATTTGGCCTTCCTCAGCGCCGTAATATTCCCAGAGGATATCTGAATGTCGTCGTACCTCTGAAACATGAAGGCCAAAAAGAAGGCAACCGTGGCCGGCACAAAGTCCCGGCCAGGGCACTGCTTGTTGGAGGCGGCGGGACAAGTCTCCCCGGCCTGCTGCGGCCCGTTGGACCAGTACAGATACTTGAGCAGCTCCCGCCCTCCCTTCTTGTCGGAAAACCTGTCGTACACAAAATCCGCCGGACTTTGAAATATCTTAGGATCTTGCATCACCAGCGGCTGATATCCACACAGCATTTCCCCTTTCTTGATCGCGTAAATGGCGTCGTGTGACGTCAGATCGAAGTCCTTCCTCGCCCGCCCGAACTGCGACGGCACCGGCGGGCTCAGCCGGAGGGCCTCGTACACGAACGAATTGATCAAATCCATTTCTCTTACAATCTCGTAGCTCAACGTCTCGCTTCCCGACGATTTTAAGGTCGACCGAACCTCGTTTCGGAGTTGCGGGTGCACGTCCTTCTGGCTTTCGAGGAAGGTCAATAGGGTGGGCAAGAATAGGGTGAATCCTCCGAAGGCGTTGAAGCCGAACATGAAGAGGAGGTTGTTAATGGCTTCGGATTCGGTGAGGTTGTAGGAGGTCTGGGCGTGGTGGAGGGCTTCTTTAGCTTGGGATTTTATGAAACTGGCGAGCTTGTTGTAGTCGGATTGGACGAGGAAGAAGGGGTAGGGGAAGGAGTGGAGGAAGATCTCGACCAGGGGTTGGAGGGCCAGGATGGGGATGGTCGGGGCCAGCTGGAGGGCCAGCCAACGGTCGACCATGATGTGCCCGGACTTCTTCATTTCCGGCACGGCGGCGGGGTCGGCGCCCAGGAGGACCCGGCTCAGGTAGGTGAAGAGGAATTGTTGGACCAGGAGGAGTAGGGTGATCACACTGCCGCCACCGCCGCTGAGCTGCGCATCCACCTCGTCGAATAGGGTGGTCAGAGAGGAGAGTATCTCCGGCGTCCATGTGGCGGCGCTCCGTCGGAGAGTGTCGATCGCGAACTCCTTCAGCTGGGACCCAATTAAAAACCATAAAATGCTTTTAATTTTTTTTTTATTTGATCAACATCATTAATTAATTAATTAATAATTAAATTTAAGGGTATAGATTAATTTTAGCTTATGTTTAATTATTTATCACATTAAGTATTATATCCACTTTGCTAAGTTTATATCTTGTTATTGTTTATTATTCAAATAAAAAATTATTTTTTTATTAATAATTATAAACTTTATTATATATTACAAATATTTTTATATTTATACATGAATACACTTACCATAACTTTTAGATATTTTTCAATTAATATTAAAGTATAATATATATTGATACTTCATTTTACTCAAATTTTTGTCCCTAACTTTAATTTTATGGAGTTTTTATTGATTTTTTTTTGTTACTTTTTATTTTTTACAGTAAAAAATATAAAATAATCTATTTTTTATTAAATAAAAATAAAAATATTTTTAATAGAAAAAAAATGAGCACAGTATTAAAAAACAATAATATAATACATATACTTTATTTAATAAAAAAATCAATAATTTAATATAAAGTATTATATATATATATATATATATAAAACCAACACACTTTTCATAATGTAAAAAATATTTCAATTAGAAACAACTAACAAACACGCCCAATATTTTATTTCGATTTCACTTTTTAGAGATTGTTTGATTGAGAGTTTGGATTTTAAATTTGTATTTCAAATAGTAAAAATTTTAAATTAAAATATCTATATAAAATGATGTAATATTGTAAACATAAAATTAATATTTGATATAAAATATAAATAAATATATATAATTTAATATGATATATTTAAAAAAAAATTAATAAATTCAATCAAGCACAACCTATAAATTTATAAATATATTTGTATATATTCAAAAATAATAATAAAATTAATTTTTATCAATTCTAAATAATTTTTTTTGTATTAATAATCTATATTAAATATTTTTTTCAGTCTCAACTCAAAGTACTTTTTTTATTAGTTTCATATGTTTCATTTCAAAGTATCATTTTATATTTTAGTACAAAGATTTATACACTAATACAAAAATACTTTTAATTTTTACTTAAATTACATACTATTATTACACATATAATTTCTTTATATATAAAATTAAAACAAAAATATTAAAACCTCTTACACACTTTAATTAATTAATAAAATATTATTATTTCTTATTTATTATAAAACTTTAAAAAAATACATTTGAGGGTGACAGAAGAGTATTTTATTAAAATATAAGTTTTAAATATTTATTTCAATAAAATAATATATAAATAAATATTTATTAAATAAATTTCATCGTAATTAAACCTTTAAAACTACGAATTTAATCATCAAATACACAGTTAATTAGGATGCTTATGATTATCTATTGAGTTTTTAAATTGAAAATTGCGTTGACGGTAATTTATTTAATTAATATTTGATTTATGATATAATATATATAATTAAAAAAATTATTTATGTTTAGTTATTTTAATGACTGAATTTTAATAAAATATATTCTCTCCGTCCCGTATCTAAATATCCATTTACTTTTTGCATAGAGTTTTATGAATATTACTATTATATTAAATTATAGTAGAAGTAAAGATAAAAAGACTAAATTACCCTTATTAGTATTGTATGATATAAAGGTAATGACATTTGTGTAATATATTGTAAATTGGAAGGGTATTTGTAACGTGAAATAGATGGTACCATTACTTAAAAAAATGAATATTTTGTTATAGAACGGACGAAAATGAAAATATGGATAGATTGTTAAGGAACGGAAAAAGTATACAATATATTATTTTGTAAAAAATAAATTTTATATAATATATAAATATAATATAAATACGTATAAATATTTATTTATAATTATAATAAACTAATTTTACAATTAAATAGAAAGTTTGTTTATTGAAGAAAGATAAAAATAAAAAATTTTGAATAAATTTTGAGCGAGAATATACTCTTTCAGTCCCCATGTAATATAAGTGTATGATACCAGATTTAGGTTCAAACTAAAATTTTTATAAATTTTGATTTATCGGATCAGTTCGGATCAAAATACTCAGAATTCGAATCAATTTGAAATATAATATTTTAATATATTTTATTATATATTATTTATGTTTACTTAATAAATTTACATTTATTTTTTCTATCAACTTAAGATTAAAAATATTTTATATCTATATTATATTTTATACACATATCATTTTGTTTGTATTACAAGACACTAATAAAAATATTTTTGTCATTTTTTTTTAATTTGTACTAAATTTTGATATAATAGTTAATATTCAAATATTAACAAGCAAATGTAAACTTTGTAAATTGACGAAGATAGTATTAATATTTTAATAGAAATAAAAACTTCGAAATTTTAGTTATATTTTAATATACTTATTTCTATTTATTATATATATTTAATATTATAAAAAATTATAAAACTTCAAAATAAAATTTAAAATTTAAAACATAAAAAAAAAAATTAAAAAAAATAATAATTGGATTATTTGAATATTTTGGCTAGATTCGAATTTTTTAATTCAAATTTTGGATTTTCAGTTTGATTCAAATTAAATTTTTTAAAAAATTTAAATTTTCAGATCAGTTCATATTTAACAAAAGATAAACCAAAAATTCGAATGCTCACCTCTAATTAACACTTCCTTTGGTATTTTTCTTTTCCCAAAAATATATTGTACATTTACTGTATATAAAAATAAAATGGTACATGTGTTTTTTATTAGTATTTTTTAAAATTTTAATATTTAGATTTTATTTCACAAAATACTTAATAAAATATTATTCAAATAGAAACTTTAAATGAAATTTTATCAAATTAAACCCAAAAAAACACATACAAAAATTGCATTGTAAACTTGCTTTTAATAAAGGATGTTGACTGACAGGAAAAATTTCTCTGCATAAAATTTTAGGGGAATATATCATCCCTGCACAGCCCAAGGAACATGTCTGTTTCTCTCTTTTATTTTATTATTATTATTATTTTTTATTTTTTTTTCTGATCTCACTTTCACTTTCACTAATAATTAATATTCTACCATTGTATAGATTATATAAATACTAGGTTTAAGTTAATAAATTTAGTTTAGTGAGTTAATAATAAATTCTAATATTATTTTATATTTTATACTAATGGTTTTATTAGTATAAAAAGTAGTATATATTATTAAAAGAAACTTAAAATATTATAATATTAATATATGTAAAATAAATAGTATGTTGTAGAAAATAAAATTTTATATCTTATAAATAAATTTATTTATTTATTTATAATTAATATAAATTAAGTTGTTAAAAAATAACTAGTTTTAAATATAGATAATATTATTTATTTATTGAAGAAAGATAAAAAAAAAATATATGAATTTTGAGTGAATTCTAATAATGTTATATGTTATGAATTTAATTAAATTGTTTTATAATATTTTTTATATTCCCTTTATCTGCCACCAATGAATTTGTTAAAAAACATAACTAATTTTAAATATAGATAAAATTATTTATTTATTGAAGAAAGATAAAAAAAAAAAAAAAAAAAAAGTTAGATTTTGAGTGAATTCTAATGATGTTATATTATGAATTTAATTAAATTGATTTATATTTATTGTATTCCCTTCGTCCGCCACCAATGTAACTATATTTTCACTTAGTCTATTCAAGTCAAATGTATCGATTTTTTTAGTAGAAGTATTTTTTACTTTAATAAATAAAAAAAAATACTTCTATATTTTACACAATATTAGCCATTAAAAAGTAAATGTGTTTGAGAAAAAAGTGTATTTTTATAGTGTGTTTACTTTGTAGGATAGGATTATAATACATGTATTATTTTAATAGGTTATATCATATGATAAAGTACTTCAATGTTTCAGTGATTATTGTATAAGATTATTAATTTTGTCTAAAATACCTAATTATATGATAAAATTAATAGTAAGTTACTTACTTATAAATGATAAATAGTCTTTCAACATTAATAATATTTTTGTATTATTTAATAACACCTATAAGAGAAGGATTAATAATCTTTGATTATAGTACTCTTTTCGTCCCGCAAAAGAAAGTTGTCATTTGATTTTTGCGTCATTATACATGACATTTAAAATATCCTTATATTTGAATAATTTACTCAACAGATATTGTTGTATATATATATTATAAGATACTAATAAACATATTTTTGTTTTGTTTTCTTGATTTGTACTACGTATTAATATAATAATTAATATTCAAATATCAACACGCAAAAAATCAACGACAACCTTCTTGCGGGATGGAGGGAGTATTATTATATCGGACTTCATTTTATCCTGATTATAATAATATATAGTAAATACATTATTAGATTGGATAAAATAATTAGAACATATGACATGCTGAATGTATAAAATTCAGCACGCTACTAATTAATCTTCACCCTTAATTCCCAAAACATATATAAAATGACTTAATTAACCTTGTTTAATTAAAAGCTAAGATTTACTTCAGCAATGTTGAATTAAAAATTAATCGATCTTTTCTAAGATAATATTATTTCAAAATGAAATATTCATTTTTTTTTAATAATCCTTTTACTCACCTACTTACACAAAATTAGTAACTTAATACAAAATATAAATTTTATATTACATACGAATCACGTTGGTAATATAGAAAACACATCTATCCAAATATATAGAGTGAAGTATAATACAATTAAAATTAAACAAAAATACAAAATAGCACTCTCCATGGGTTTGTTTGGTTTTCATTTGAAATTGAATTTTTTATTTAAATAATACTTTAATAGAATATTTTGTAAAATAAAATAATATATATTTTTATTAACAATAGTAAGAGCTAAATAATATTTGTTTATATTTAAAATACAAATCAAACTTTCTTTATAATAATTTTATAATTTTTCATATCTTACGATAAAAATACTTCAAATTATATAAATATTAAACAAAGACATTTTAAAGA